GATGAACAGTTTCTTCCTTTTCTCCAAAAAATTGATTGTGGCACTTAGATCATTTAGCTTTTCCACTCTAAATATAAGTGGTAAAATATACAAATACAGCTTTTTTGTTAAAAATTATTTATTGTATATACCAAGGCCAATGCAGTGCTATATGATTCAAGTGCAAATGCCTTTCATTTTTGTTTCAATAAGCATCAACAGATGAAAGTTGCAATATGTCCAGAGGCGGTCTGCATGCTAGTTGACCTATGTGTTCAACTGGAATTGCACTTGTAAGATTTTTACAAGTCTTTTGTATATCTCAAAGATTTTTATCAAATATTCATTACACTTTTAATCACAATTATCACTTGCTATAGTTTTGAACAGTTANATTATCTAGATTTAATTTAAGTGATACTGAAAAACTAACTAATCAGCAGAAATATACTATAGCTAGAAAAGTGTTAGATAATGTAGAAATCCATAGGAGGATGAACATGAAAAATAGAAATAAGACTTTATTTGAGCTAAAAGTATGTATTTTAAATATTTTGTGTAATTTAGAATATAATTAATTTAAAATAATTTTGAATTTTAAGTTAATTATTTTTGTAAGCAGTATTAATTTTACAATATAATGTAATTTTTATTTATAGTTATAGGATTTTGTGTATGTAATAATTATAAATTTAATAACAAATTTACTTTATGTATATATGTTAACTTCTAACTGTAACTCTTGATCCTTGGTTGTGATTATAACAGTCAATCTTTTATATTTTTGACCATTCTCTTCAACTTTTCATCTGCTCTTTTCTGCTTTTCTACATTTTCTTATAGTTTTAGTTTTAAGAACTCCTTCAAAGATTCCTTCAACACATGTCCAGCGAGACTTATTTTGCTTTTAATTACCTGTCTCAAAATTATTTTCCATTCTCAACATCATTTCATTTGTTATCCTATCATGCTTAATTTTCTTCCTTAGTCAGATGAATATTTGTTTTGAATGAAGGGAATAAATACTTATTAAAATACCTTTTCATTAAATTTATTTTTTGTAAACCTACATTCTTTTTTTCAGACTGAAATTGAAGAACTTGCTCTCGTATAATCCTCATAAATAAAATACCAATGTGAAAGAATTTTCTTAAGCAGTATCAGTGGGTACTGATACTGCATAAAGATGTTTGTACCGAAATTCAGGTACTGTTCAGTGTTTGAACTCTGTCAGTTTTTCTTGAAAATTAATGCAGATTTTATCGAGAGTCACTGCAGTGACTCCGCGCCAAGTAAAAAAAATCACTGACTAACTATGTATACAGGAATCAAAGTTGCCAATTTTCGGGGATCGATTTCTCAGCCCTCCAAATGCCTGTAGTAATTCCGAATATCTCGTTCGAAAGATACTTGTTTTCTTAGGTAATGAGCAAAAATTTCAGGATTTTATTAAAGGGGTTACCGAAATATAAGCAATTGAAAAGTACAAAATTCTCCGAAAAAGCTGTATTTTCGTGATATATCAAGAAAATTTTTATCTGTATTAATATTTTTTACATTTCGCTTCGAAACACCAAACCATATTTAAACCAATTTTTGCATAAACTATATACTGTGTGTAAAATAAGTATGATTATGATGTTTATTTAATAAATGTTTAGAAAAAAATTAGTTTTAAAATTATCTTTGAATAGCAATTTAGAATTATATCTGTTTAAAACAAAAACTGAAATTCTTCGTATTTTCTGACATAATTACATTTTATTTAAAATTCAATTTATACTGTATTCTAAATTCGAATTATTCGAAATTCGGCTCTTATAATATTGATGAAAAATGAATTCCGAAAGCATAGAACGAGAAAGAATAATGAATATGGATGCAAACTTGCTAGAAAAATTGAAATCCTTGAAAGTTAATGATAAAGAAGGTTTTATATGGAATGTATTGAAAGCCGAATGGATTCCTCAAGAGCAAAGAGATCTTGTGTACTGGAAGGATCCTTACAAAACCGGCATCGTTTTTGGAACGGGATTAGTCCTTCTGCTTTCTTCAACTTATTACTCAATCATAAGTGTAGTTGCGTATGTACTTTTGATCGGTTTGATGATGGGAATCGGATTGAAGATTTTTAAAAATTGTTCGTGTTTAACTCAATTCGGAGAAGATCCATTTGAAAATTATTTTAATACGGATATCATTCTGTCATCCGATCAGATTCATCAATACGTGGATATCTTGTTGGAATATGCGAATGAAGGTTCGAAACATTTGCGGAGACTTTTCTTAATGGAAAGTATGATGGATTCATTCAAATTCGGACTAATCCTCTTTTGCATGACTTACATCGGTTCCTGGTTCAATGGAATGACCCTGATCAACATGGCTTACGTGTCATTCTTTACTGTTCCGAAACTATACGAAACCTATCTGGAGCAAATTTATTCGTATGCCGAAAATTTGCAAAACCATATAAACAATCTCTCTGATTTAATAAAATACAAACTTTTTCAAGAAATCAAAGAAGATTAAAACGTTTAATTTATTGTTATTTTCTTTCTTCATCTAAATTCTTGTAATCCATTTATGGAAAAATTCAAAGTTATCTATTTTTGTTTCTATTGTTTCTTGTTAAAGTAAAGCTATCACAAAAATTTTTTTCTTTCGTGTCTGATTAATTACTGTAAAATTAACCCTTTTACCACCCATCACATTTTGAAGCAGGACCATCGAAATGGAATCAAATCGAACCGATAATATTCTGGTATTCCATGCAAAATGTTTAATTTTAATCTACTTTTGAGGAAAAATAATAATCATGAGTACAAATTGTTCAAAAAAGTATTTGAGGATATTGAATTGAGAAATTGAATGAATTGAGAACAATTAACTAGTCTGCATTAATTAATTAAATATATTAATTTTTAAAGATAAACTTTTCATTTGATTATAATTTTATCAGTTTTTATAAGTTAAACAGACTTTACATAACTTTATTGACACTTTTTTATTTTAGATTATCAAAAATATAATTATGAAATATTTTTAAATAATAAATAATATTGATTTAGGTGTGGTCTTCTGGAAGGAAAATCTTTATTGACAAACAGTGGACTTGTAAGTTATTAAAATGATAGATTCAAGATTTCTGTCAGCTGCGCAACTTTCTGCATATTCCTCATTTAGCAGCACTGCTGGTATACAAGATAGAACAGATGAATGGATCAGTAAAAGAATCATCAAGAGAAAGTAAATTTAAAATTTTCATATTGTGAAATCATTTTGTATCTTAATATATGCATTCTTTTGATTACAGAGAAAACATCAAGCTGTTGGAGCTGGAAAATAGAATCTTTGTAATGTTTTTTAATCAATTGGTTAACAGTTTTGATATTTGTACAATTGATGATTCTGGTTTGCAAATTTTATTTGAAAGTGAAAAGAATCAGAACCTAACTTTTTCAATGTTAAGCAAAGAATATGTATGTATTAAAAGATTATCTAGATTTAATTTAAGTGATACTGAAAAACTAACTAATCAGCAGAAATATACTATAGCTAGAAAAGTGTTAGATAATGTAGAAATCCATAGGAGGATGAACATGAAAAATAGAAATAAGACTTTATTTGAGCTAAAAGTATGTATTTTAAATATTTTGTGTAATTTAGAATATAATTAATTTAAAATAATTTTGAATTTTAAGTTAATTATTTTTGTAAGCAGTATTAATTTTACAATATAATGTAATTTTTATTTATAGTTATAGGATTTTGTGTATGTAATAATTATAAATTTAATAACAAATTTACTTTATGTATATATGTTAACTTCTAACTGTAACTCTTGATCCTTGGTTGTGATTATAACAGTCAATCTTTTATATTTTTGACCATTCTCTTCAACTTTTCATCTGCTCTTTTCTGCTTTTCTACATTTTCTTATAGTTTTAGTTTTAAGAACTCCTTCAAAGATTCCTTCAACACATGTCCAGCGAGACTTATTTTGCTTTTAATTACCTGTCTCAAAATTATTTTCCATTCTCAACANGCGGTCTGCTCAAAGCCTTAAAAAAACTCAAAATTTACACTGATTTATAGTATCACCTCATTTCATTGATTCATATATAATACAATTATTTACAAACACAAACCAATCAGGAAAAGGTGGCAAAAAGGTGTAGTTTCTCTAAATCTATGTTTGTTTGGTGTAATTTTGGAAAAAATATAACATCATGGTTACCATAAGCAATATCAGTTTTGCTTGGCAAGAATTAACTGATAAATGCACGAATGAAGTGTGGAAGAAGTTATGGCTGAAGGTATCCAAGAATTCTTAACGAGAAGAACCTATC